TCGCTGAACTTTGCTGAACGGAACCGACTGTTCATTACTAACACGTGCTTCCAGAACTGCAACAAACATTTTCTCACCTGGTACTCCATCGATGGTCACACATCCTGGGACTCGCATGTTCGCTTGTATTAGTGACTAAACTTTAGTCAGCTCAAGATTCCACAGCTGGGTTCATGATAGTAAGCCACTGCGTAGTTTTGCGACTGGTAATGCCCATGGGTCTGAACACGTTCTTGTTCGCACACGCTTGAAAGCTCGCCCCTCATCTCCGCCTAAATTACCACGCGCTAGACGCGTCAATGTCGACAAAATTCGGTAACCCAACACTGCTGAGGTCCTAAGCAGAGAAATCCGGTTCTGTTTCATGACCCGAGCCGACGGAGAAGAGAGTAGCCCATGGTCCTTACTGAAAACTTTAGTCGATGAGGCAGCCAAGACAATTCTGGGATGCACCCAGCGACGGCACCATGATCAGATCAGTAGACGAACCCTGCAGTTTTCTGCCGAGACAGCCCAAGCTAGGGGTCGTAATGATGATTCTTTCTGCCAATTAAGAATACTGTCAGCAAAATCGGCCAACGAGGACCGGAAGAAATACTGGACTGAAATAGTGACCTCCGTGGAGCAGGCTTCGAATTTTCGTGGTACTGGATAGCTCTACCAACTTATTCGCCAGGCTAGTTGTAAGCTGCCTGTAGTGAGTGACTCAGTTCGTGATGTGAATGACGCCTTAATTGCTGACAACGTGACCAATTTCGAACGCTGACTTGAGAACTTCGAGCATCTCAACTTTGATACCAAGCCCAGCGCCCCCCTGTTCCCATCTACAGCAGAGCCTCCTCCCTCTCTCCCTTATCCAGTGTCATGCGACCCGCCTTCTGAAGGAGAAATCGCTGTTGTCATGAAAAGGCTGCGAAACAATCAGGCACCTGGAGAGGACGGTATATCCGCTGAAATCTACAGGTCTTGTGCCCACACTCTGGCTCCTTGGCTCCTTGAGATGACTGGACAAGCATGGAGAGACGAGGCCTTTCCTGATGACTGGGGCTCAGCCATCCTGTGCCTGTCCACGGGAAGGGAGATAAGACAAAATGTGAGGACTACCACGACGTTTTTGCAAAGATCTTTGCCATTTTCCTCCTCGTGCGATTCCAATCTGCGCGCGATTACAGGACGCTACCCAGCTAATCCGGATTACGCGCTGGGCTAGGTTGTGTGGATCAGGTATTCACACTGAGAGAGACCCTTGGATTCCATCATAGCTACCAACAACCAACGACCGTCTGCTTCGTTGACTTTGTCGCTGCGTTCGACTCCGTTCATCGTGACCCCCTATGGTGGATAATGGCATTAGATGGTGTGTCACCAAAATAATCGCCGTGATCAAGGCATACTATCGCTCCACCACTGCGCAGGTTCTTGTTCACAACAACCTCTCAGAACCTTTCGCTATTCGGTCTGGCGTTCGACAAGGCTGTATCCTTTCGCCCATCCTCTTTAACTGCACCATTGACTGGGGTTTTGAGAAGGCTTTAAAGGAGAAATTACGGTATTGAGTTTGCATCCGGACGCCGGTTGACTGATCTCGACTATGCCAGTAATATCGCTTTACTAGCTTCAAGCTTTGGCGATCTACAGTGTATGGTGTCACGGGTGAACGAGGTTGCGAAATCGGTCGGTTAGTCCATACTCATCACTGAGATAAAACAAATCTGCCGTGGCAAACACTTCTCACTACTTGGACATTTTAACTTTTCAGATATTGATCGAGAATTAATGCACAGCTCGCGAGCAGAAAACTCATTCGAAAATAAATTACTTCATTTGGTATGTGACGAAATTCTTAGCCAAAACGTCACAATGGACATTTAGTTCCGAAATGCCCCATAGTCTAGCTGGCTTGAGCTCACCATTAGTAGAGATGAAAACTGTATCCTTGGATTGAGTACTCAGACCCATTTTGGGCGAAGTGATCATTACGCTCTTGTTTGGGAGTGCAGCCATTTCTCTGTACTCGTCACTGGAGCAGTGAGCGAGATGAGTGTATGGAAAGGGGATTATGCCAAAATGGAAGGACTACTCAATGAGAACGACTGGAGCCCTGCATGTGGGAGCCTGCCTCGCTGACTCACGCTCGCTTCGTTGCCAAAGCCGCGCAAGTCCGCTGTGTACGCGCGCCGGCTCAACGCCTACGTACTGTGTCTGCCAACAGCTAC